GTAGACAGATGCAGACATGCATATATTTGATCATAAATCAGGTGAATGTTCTCTCAATAAGTCCGCCTCTCAAAGGAAGAAGAAAGACGATGACAGGGTTAGAAAGAATTATTATAAACTTGACGAGAGAATTGATTAGATCAGGAGTAAGGTAAGATCATTGTCGTTAGTTTGAGCGCATGAATGCATACAAAGAAGTAAAAAAAAAGACAGACTATGATGTATATATAAGTGAGTTTCTTTTTCTTTTTTATTTCGTATTTCTATGTTATGCAGTTAGATCGTTCTATGATTGATGATGTATATACTAGAATATAAAGACAGAATCACTTGGTATCAGCAGGAATGATTGAGAAATCGAATTGCTGTATACTCAAGACTGTTCGTAATATGCCTATCAATTTTTTCTCTTCTTTTGTATTTTTTCTTCTTCTTCTTCTTCGTTGTCGACATCTAGTATGCGAAGTTGGCTGGTAATCGATCATAAACAGCTATTTCCAATAAAGTTGTCATTGTATGTATATATGTATGCACATGCATACGCAATCACTCACTAAGCCGTGACTTTGTCGTTAAATCGATAACATCATGATCGGAACAAACATTCGAAGTGAAAAAAGAAAAAAGCAAAATAAAAAGAACGTAGGAAGAGAAGAAAGATTTTACCACTATCGTTTATCAGTTTGCGTATTTACTTATTCGTTCGTACACAGACAAAGAAATCAGAATTGTATATATATATATATATTTATAATATATATATATATATATACTAGCAGATGTATGTGAATGCATACGCATACGCTAACACATGCTTTAAATTAATGTTCATGTCCTAGAACAATTTATTGAACATATATATAGTATCTACTATTTCATTTTAGATTTAAAACATCACCATCTCCTTTTCCCATTTCTATTCTGTTGCCGAAACAGACGGGTAGTGAGTATTTATTTAAAATAAAAAATTTAAAGCAAAAAAACTTTTTTCTATATACAGACGGAGAATGACGGCAACAAGTAAAAATATTGAATTAATTGTGAAACAATGGACTACATTTGATTTGAAAACAATTCAGGTAAAAAATATTCAATATGATATTGAACTAGTTTTTTTTTTGTTTTATCTTTAATCGCTCTTTATTTGTCAAGTGTTCTTTTTCTTTCTCTATCTTTTTTTGAGTTGAACTTATCAATCAATTCAGTAGAACACAAAAAAAAAGAAAAGAGAAGAATAAATTGAGTGATCACAAACTATTGTGTAATGTATATTTATTAATTTATATACTTGACATCGTGGCCTTTCTTCTCTCGTTTTTTTTGCGATAATCACAATCGATTTGTTCACCTTATTCTTTGATATAAGGCGGAGAAAAAAGAAAGTTATCGACCTTCTTTCTAGAGAGCTTGAAAACTAACTATTTAATCATCACGATTGACATTCGTTGTCTAGTTATATGTTGAATTATGATAATAGATCAAGTCTTGTCTTATATGACAATCGCTTTCAAATAATATTCTTTCTTTTTTTTGTTGTCTCTTTATTATCATCAACTCCTACTATCGTTTTGTTGTTATTTGAGAAATACTCTCTCTCTCTCTTGTGATTAGAATTCTCTTATTTGCCTTCGCGGATTACTTATTATGCTTGTCAATGATGATACAAATAGATATCTTGTATTTTTAGTAATAGTTCGGTTACTAATATTTCAGTAAGTAACTACTTGATTATGAAATACTAATACACGTGACGGAATTTAAAGTGATTTCAAAATTCAGAAGAGAAGAATCATATCTGGAGTGATAGATTTATGTGAAACTATGCTTTTTTTGAGAACTGAAAAAAGAGGAAAATTCCATTCATGATTGTTTTTATATAAGAAATAATATTCGTTTTTCTTCTTCTTCTTCTTCTGTGTTTCTCCTTTTTTTCTTTATTATAAATTGTGATAAATAGTCTGATCGACATCAGTAAGTGAATATATGTGCGTATGTTGGTATGTACTTTAAAACATAAAAGAAATCGTATCTTTTATATATGTATATATGTTTGCCTATGATGATTGATCTGAGAAATATACAGTCAATGTATGATAAAACTTGCCGTCGTGTTTATTGGTATAACCCATGAGACACTTTGTTCTTGGGTATTGACATACATCATATAGACAAAGATAAGAAAAGTTGTAATAGAGACGGACAACCTCTTTCTCTCTTCGTTCGTTTATCGAGCTAAAAGGAATAAAAAGGAACCCGACATTGACTTGAGTAGCAGCATCATAAGACATCGCTGATTTCCTCCTTGAGAATGAATGCCGTGTCTAATCTATATCAATCAACTCTCTCTTTTTCATTACCCCAAAAGACTGGATGAATAAACCTAATCTCAAATTGACAACAACCAGTTTTGTTATTCCTTTTTCCTCACTGTATATATTTAGTAAAAGAAGAAGAAGAAAAAAAAAAGACATTGTCAACAGCAAACATCTAATGATCCATGATCGTTAATTATGATCATTTCTACTATCGATGACAGATAACTCTGTTTGTATATATATATATATATATATAAATGTATGTGTATATCATATATACATTTGTATCAATAGACAAAAAGATATGGTATTGTCAATGATGACAATCATACAAATCACTTTTAAGGCTATACGAAAGACAATTAATTAATCGTACATAACACTTATACTGACGTAAGAAAGTAATCACGTGCATTATTTGTATATATATATGATGAAAAAAATATGATTTTTTTTTGTATTTTATTATTAAAAAAATAATAATATTATATTAAATTTTTTTTTTCTAGCATGATTTGGATGTGACAACCACTGAAATAGCTAGTCGTGCTGATGAAAGTGATCAATCAAGAAAAAAATTGGTTGAATTAAGTCGAGATTTTAAGAAAAATACCAGTGAAGTATGTAGAATTCATAAGATTTATTTTAATTCATCATTAAATCAAGAGAGATAAAGAAAATATATAGATAAAATATTAGTCGTGTATAAGTATCTATTCAAATGCACATACTTTTATTTTCACGTATGCGCGAACGTGATCATTGGAAAGGTAAACTGATCATTCTGATATTTCTGCTCTAATTTAGTAGATTGTACTTCTTAAACTACTTTTATTTTAAAAGAAGTGTATAAATAAACCAATTTATTTTATTTGTCATTTTATGCACGATCTCATCATCAATTTAAATAATAACTGATTTGATTTAGAAAATTATTTTTATATACATAGACATACTTTCAAAGTTCTATTGTACTTGATTTAGACTTTTCCATTTTTCTTATTTATCAAAAAGGCAAAATACAAATCAATCATATAAATAATAATTATAATATTAAACAACAATTCATTTAGTTTGAAACATATATTTGACAAAAAGAGCAACTTGTAAATCATAAGTCAGAGAATTTATCTATGCATTCATGTGCAAGACCTTTGATCTTCACAGTGATGAAGTTAATTTTAGATTTCAATAAGAATCGAAGAGACGAGCAGAAGAAAAAAAAGAAAATCTTTAATTGTATGTCGTTTTTTTTCTCTTCTCCTGATCATCATTGTGTAATAACATAGTAGCATAAACTCCTCTGTGTTTGTGCGTGATGACAAACTGTTTATGTCAGTCTGATTGAGCCTAGAAGTAACGTAGTTTTTTTTCTCTGTTTTATTATAATGCGCTTTTTTTTCAAAACTTAGCAGAGATTCTTCCCTCTTTAGTGAATAAAAATTTTAAAGATATGAAAATATCAAGAGTCTAGTTTGATCTTATCCGTATTTATAATTATAAGAAAGCTGATCATGATTTACATATTGAATAAGTAAAACGACTAGTATGATGTGTCTTATTTTATATTTTGATGTTCATCATCTTACTACCTGGTGTTTTCTTTTCAACAGATGAGAAAAAAAAATCTTCTTTATACTAGTAAATGAATAGAAACTAAATACATACTCACACATCCATGGACATATAGTGTCAAATCCTGCTAATGCTGATGACTTTTTTTCTCTTTTTTCATCATCCTGAAATTTTAATCAGACAGCATCTTACCTCGATAATAAGAAACAATGTCGAAAGATTGTTTCTACTTCTATATATGTCAATGACTAAGTCGGATCGGCATCAAAATTAATCACAAATAAAAGTCAATTTCCTTTTTTTATAATTGAATGTAAAATAAAAAAAAAGGAGAAGAAGAAATTCCATATAGATTCGTCTTTCTTTTATTTATAAGTTAAAAAAAAATGAAGAGATTTTCTAATTAGATGTGATCATTCGATATTATAATCTCGTCTTCGTCTTTCTTTCTTTGCATGTATCAATTCATTGTTATCACTAGTAAAAGAATAATAATAATAATAATAAACTCTAGTTGATTACTTTTGATGCCTATCGGCACGCAATTGTTTCGATGAGTAAAAATTGAACTATAGAAAAACCAATCAAAATTTGGAGAATTTCTTTTTTTTGTCCACTTCAAGTGATTGAACTACTTTGAATGAGAATACATCTGTCAGAAGAGTTGTTAAAAATTTCAAAGAATATAAGTGATTTTGATGTCACATTATCATCTTTTAGATATATGTATATGCCTAGAAGGTATAAGGAAGTGAGCTAACCGATCATAATCGTAACGACACTAGAATCTAAATGTCTAATAATTTATCTCGATTTTCATCATCATTGATGCATATACATTCATTCTCTTAATGAAACTTCTTTTCACAACGCTCATAGGTATTCTTTGCAATAGATGATTAAAATACAAAACGTTTTCGATCAAGTTCGTCTTCTTTCTCTTGTATAGAAATTCTCCTTTGTCATTATAATGATAGTTTATGTGAATGTAAAACATGCCTTCTTTTTTTTTCTCCTCTTCTTCTTCTTCTTCTAATATGTTCATTACATTTTGTTTCAAGTAAATATTATGAGACTTCCGTTCCTACTACCTTATCTAATGATAACTAAAAATAAGAAATATAAATGATATTTATTCATTCCGTATAGAATAAATGCAACAATGATGATTGAAATTTTTTCTTCCACTTAAATATTAATTATTTATAAGAGAGAAAATGATGTGTGAGAAAGTCTTGTTATCACTGTATATTTATTCTGATTTTTTTTCTTTTTTTGATCAGTTAATAATCAAAAATTTGTAACAACAAAACTTCATGATTAGTTAAGAAGAGATCTTATTGAGTAATTGTTTAGACAAATAACTAATATGACACGCAATTTTTTGTAGTAACCATCTGCTTACTATTGAGAAAATGTTAGAAAAAAAAAATTTATCTATCACCTGTCTCTCCTTCCTCTTTGCCATACATATATATAAATGAGCGCGATAGAACGCTTTGCCTTCTTTGAAAAGAAGAAAAAAAACTAGAATAGCGACGAACACCTTATCATCATCATCATCATTTTTTTATACGATACTTTCTCTCTAATCATCATCATCATCATCATCACTAAAGTTTGTAAGTCGAATGAAAGAAAAAAAATGTTGCCTGTTGTTAAACACGCGCTTACACTCCAAATCGATAACAATATCATTTATTATTATCTTTTTTGTTGACTTTATTATTTGTATACGTAGGATGTGCGCAAAGCCGTTGCACCTATATTAAAATCATTTCAAATCGAAATTGACAGTTTATCAAAACGAAGTAAAGCAGCTGAAAAAGCTTTTCTAGAAATTTATCGACATTTAACTGAATTATCCGGTATGAATTCATATTTTCTTTATTTTGTTTTTTTTTGAAACATTTATTTTATTCTTTTTCTAAGATCCTGTGCCAGCCCTTGAATACGCTCAAACATTACAACGACGAGCAGAAAAAGTATCGGATCTTGAAGTTGAAAATCAAAAATTACGAGAAACTTTAGGTAAAAAGTCAACTTAAGATAAACTGTTTTTTTCATTCATCTTTTTCTAGATGAATATAATCATGAATTTGCTGATGTAAAAAATCAAGGTAAAAAAAAAGAAGAATTTTATCTTTTCTTTTTTTTCCTAAAAAAAAAGAATTCTTTCATAATAGAAGTGACAATTAAGCAATTACGTGAAAAAATTAAAGATTTAGAAGATAAAACAGAATCAACTATTCAGGTAAATTGACTTTTGATATAAAAAATAAATAAAATTCCTTTATTTAGCAACGTGTTAAAGAAAAAGAAAAAGAACTTCAACGTATCTTCAGTATGTATATCGCTTTTTTTTGTTGTTGTTGTTATTCAAAATTGATAAGAGAATCATCTAAATAAATAAATTTATTCATTTTTTTTTATTTTAGGCGAAAAAGAACGGCAGTTACAAAGTCAACAATTTGATCTTGTTACTAAATATGGAGAAATGGAAATGCGTCAAACACAATTACAATCAGCATTAGATCATGCACATCAAGAAATGTTTGAATATAAATCTAAACAAGATGATGTAACAAGTGCACGTTCATCTGAAATTGATATACTTAATCAAGATTTAGAACGAGTTAATGAAGTAAAAAAATAGAATTCTATGATAAAAAAAATTTTGTTTTTTCAAATTTTCTTAGCGTGCAGCAAATGCTGAACATTTAGTTGATAAACTTCGTGAACAACTTGATCAAGCCCAACAATATATGACATCATCAACAGCAACAAACAAAAATTTCGATGACAATCTTTCTCAAGAACAATCCGAACGAAAATTACGTGAAAAACTCGAACTTGAATTAGCAAGTAAAGAACGTGAAATAGCAGCTTTAGTTACTGATACACAAAAATTACAATCAACTTTAATTAAAGTTAAAGAAACATCAGTTTCACAGGTAAGAATATAAGACGACAGAAATATAAATTTATATTGTGAAATATTCTCTCAGATATCTGATCTTGAAAATGTTTTAAATACAAAAGACAAACATATTGCACAACTTGAAAGTAAATTACATAGTCTAGCTGATTATGATGAAATTAAACGAGAATTAACGTAAGTTAAAATATCGACGAAAAAAAAAATCATATATTTTTTTATTTTGAAAGTATTTTAAAATCAATTGAATTTCCTTCAATGAATCGTTCAAATGATGAACAAACAAATAATCTATCAAAGAAATCATTGGAAACACTTTTATTAGAAAAAAATCGAACTTTACAAAGTGAAAATACCCAAATGAAAGTCGCAAATGCTGATCTTGAAAGTAAGTTACAATGATTCAATCATTAAGTAAATATTATGATTAGTTTTTACCTTTTACTTTTCTTTTTATCGCTCGATATAAAATACTTAAGATAAAACGAAATTTTTCTTCTTCATCATATATATATATATATATACATATCTTCCTAGGTAATACTAATCATTATTCATGCCGTCATTGTTCTTCTCCATGTTTACATCAAACTAATACTCTTTCTCTACTTCCTTCTCCTCTCTCACCTTCTCAGAGTTCTTTTAAATCATCATCTCAGTCAACTAATTGTAATAATACTGAGGACATGACAAGATCTCTAAATAATTCTCCCTCAAAAGTTATTTCACTTCTATCATCAAACGATACACTTCAATCATCTTGCAATTCTCTCTCTGTTCCTGTTGATACAAAATATCCACTATGTCCAACAATGATTACACCAACAGCTCCACTTTTATTATCAACATCATCATCATCCGATCTCTATTCCGGTAAGAAAAAAGATTTAATAACAAAAAAAAATGAATGAAAAATATATCATTACAGGTCAACAACTTAATGCCGTCCAATGGACGAAACTTACATGTCCATCATCTTCAGATGTTAAATCATCTATATCTACACCATCAATTAATAATTCTTTAGAACCTCTTGAAACAACACATGTAGCAAATATTGTACGAAAAATTCTTGCACAACATAATATTGGTCAACGTATTTTTGCTCGTTATGTCTTAAGTTTATCTCAAGGTACAGTTAGTGAATTATTATCAAAACCTAAACCATGGGCAAAATTAACAGAAAAAGGAAAAGAAAGTTATAGAAAAATGTGGTCTTGGGCTAATTCTGAAGAAAGTATTTTAGCATTAAAAAGTATTAGCCCACGTAAAGGTATAGAAAAATTATAATTATTTAATATATAAAAAAAATTTTTTTTCTCAATAAATAAGGTTCAAAAGATTCGACATTTACTACGATACAACAAAAACTTGTTCAAGTTGTGTCGGATACACAAAAACCTTCTCGTACACCTTCAGCATCATCATCAGCAGCATCATCACGAGCACCTTCACCTTCCGAACAAAATTCATTTATACCTCCCGCCATATTTTCAGCATTTGTTCCATCATTATTAATGCAAACAACAAATAGACTTAAAAATGAATCTTATCCATCCTATAATGTTCTTTGTCCTCAACCAGATAATTATCGTAATTGGTTAATGTTACAAGAAATTGTTCGAAATAATACATTATTTAAACAATTAAAATCATCACCAGATACAGATGAAAGTGAACAAGAAAATGAAGATGATATTGATAAAGATACAACAGAAATTCCATTAGATTTAAGTATGAAAATTGATACAGATCAAACTACAATAAATAAACAAACTGTCATTAAAAATAATAAAACAATTTTAACACCATTAAATGAACAAGATATAGC